AGAGACGAGGGAAAACTAATATGAACTTTTTCTTTTGTTACGGACGTGACAAAGAAAGTTATTACGGCTGTCTTTGTCGCAATTTAATTCATATATTCTGACAGAGACGCGAAGTAACAGTAAAGTTGTCCCTCTGCCAAAATAATTAAGAACTATGCCATGAAGACATATGGAGGAGTGGAGGTATAGCTCCGCCAATTTTAATCTCTGCGTTAGATGGAGGCGAGTCTTCAGCTTCATACCCCGAACCCTTTATCCCCTGCAGGGAAAGAGCCCCCCACTGCCCACTGGATAGAAGTCTCAGAGCCCGTGCGTCTGAACGCTGTTGAGAAGAGGAGCATCTCTAATCTGACGGGTATTGAACCCCGGCCATGCCACCCGTAGCCCTTCGCTATGCAGACTGAGGTATTCCGATCTGCTGCAGACATGAAGATGGAAACGTTTGAGGCATCAGACAGAGTGAGAATGCTTTCACGTTAAAATTGAGGCGGCCGTATAGGTCAGAGACGGCTGACTAGTGTCGGTGTGGTGAATACATTCTCCTGGAGTTCAACCGAGAGACACGCTGATCGTGCCCATCCAATCCTAGATATAATTTCATGACAGCTTCTGTAGGTACATTCTGTCATCTTTCCTAACAGGAACTGCTTTAAAGCCCCGTTTCGTGCTGTAAGCTTTGTTTAGTTTGCAATGTGGCGTATAGACCCGTTTCCAGGCAGCGACAGCGAAACAGACAACGAAACATTCGCTGCTAGGCAACAGATCTTAATAAGCAGGAGCAGACGGCCACCGTCACGGCACGGCTCGGTAAACACGTTTCAGCGGCAGCAGACACGCATACAGAAATTGAGGAACTGTTGGAAACGGTGTTTTCTACTGTCAGTGCAAAGGGGTTATATAACTAGGCTACCAGCCTGGGAACCCAGGAAAAGAAAACCCAGTGCCTGGGGGTATAATCGGGCTACCCTATTCCCGGGGGATATAAATACGGCGACGTGGCCCTCGAGGTTGGGGGGAGGGGGGCCTCGAATCTGAGACAATAAAATATGGTCATGAGTCCCGCGGGACTCTGACCTGAGAATGTCTGCGCTGGCGAGGACCAGCAACAATTGCAAACGACAAACCCATCCGACGATGTTACACGAGGATTATAACCGCAAGCGTTCAGTTGTAAAATAAAATTATTGGTCGTGAGTCTCAAGGGGCTTGTCGCCAAGACGAACTGATTGGCGGTAAACCGTCAGTCGTTAAGTAACTCTGACTCTGACTGACTCTGAGAGCTCACAAAGTCGGGCAGTGAAGGGAAGACGAGGAGCTTGGTATGAAATGGCCGCCAGCCTGACTGTCTGCTGGAAGGGGGCCGCCGATAGGAGAGGGCTTGAGCACAGAAGCAGAGGAATAGCTGCTTTTAAAAGCCGTTATCAGGAAACATCTAGTGAAGACATTGCAGGCTGGAGTGAAGCTAAAATCAAGTGGAATTACAAACTCAGTGTTAAAGTGGTGAATAAATAATATCAAATCCAAAAGCCGGTGGGGTGTCACTCCATCACGTGACAGTATTGTCGGAATTTATGACCACAAAGTATCGTGTTAGTCTGAACACAAGACGAGTTTTTCTTCAGACACTGCTTCTTATAAATGAGGTGTTGCCTTGTTTTCGGGTCCTTAAAATTACATACGAAGACAGTGAATAAGAAAGGCAACCCTGACTTTCTCACTGGAGGAACTGGAGTCGCGTCACGTTCTGGTTTACACGGTACGCAGCTGCCATCCAGGGAAACTGTTAAATCTGCCTACGGAAAACGCGTGCAGTTTTGCGTGCCCTGCGACTAGACACGCTGTGCGACGAAAGTATCAAAGTATCAAAATTCATTAACAACTTCTCAGTTATTTCAGAACGCTCGGCGTCGAATGGCTGGCTTAGTGTTACAGTGCCCGTTGAGAGAGCTTCAAAGCTTATAAATCACAAATAGCTTAATCTGAACTTTCCTCAGTCACACCGCCCCCCCCATTTACAGCCGTAGAGTTCTTCCCGGAGACCACACAACCAATTTCCTTTACCCCCCTTCGACCCTCCATTAATAACAACCAGGCTTTTTTTATTGCTAGTGGGGTGGGACTAAGTCCCTTGTACTGCGGCCACTTCTGGCCTATTCTACCAGCCCCAGATGATAGGTGAGGGTGATTGTGGAACAATTGGTGGAATGAAGATTGGCAGGGGAAACCGAAGTACTCGGAGAAAACCTGCCCCAGCTCCAATTTGTCCACCACAAATCCCACTTGACCAGATCCGGGCCGCCGCGGTGGGAAGCCAGCGACTAACCGCTTGAGCTATGGCGCGGCCCAACAACCACGCTTACTCATGGAGCTGAGCCCTTCATGAGGAGCCGCCAAATCTGCAGCTACTCAAGGATTTCCCAGCATTTTATGGAACCCGAAGGTTCATTACCGTGTTCACAAGAGCCCTCCACCGGTCCCTATCCTGAGCCAGATAAATCCAATCCATATCACATCCTATCTCTCTGAACCATTTTAATATTGTCCACCCACCTACGCCTTGGTCTTCCTAGTGGTCTAATGCATTCCTCGTCTCCCCCAGTCGTGCTACATGCCCTGCCCATCTCATCCTCCTTGACTTGATCATTCTAATTATACTTGGAGAAGAGTACAAGTTATGAAGCTCCTCATTATGCAGTTTTCTCCGACCTCCCGTCACTTATAACAACCTACAGTTTTGAAAAAAAAAAAAAAAAAAGACTACGTGAACAAAGCTATTTATTACCCATGTTGTTAACACGAGGAGAAGCAAGCAAATATTAACGTTACTGTCAAGCCAAAATGATGTTAATTTGTCTCTGCTTTACAAGGGGAATCTGCGGTTTCCAATCCCCATTTTGGAAGCAATTAATTCTCGCTGTCTATGTACAAAGCAGAGTAAATATGCAGCATGAATAAAGGGTTTCATGTGCTCGCCAATTTCTCTAAGCAAATCGCGCAGCAGCTCGCGACTTAACGCTTAAGCACAAGTTTCCTGAAAGTATTTATTTAGCAGTTATCTCATAAGTCACAAATGTTTGTTTGTTTGTTCGTGCTCAATGCATTTATCACGAGAGGACTGTTCTGTTAAGCCTTTCCTCTAAGCGTCTTCTCAGTCCACAGAAACTGGAGCCTTCGTTTCGCCTCAACCGCAGCCAGTGCCGAGGGGCTTTGCACCGTCATTCTCCAAGTATCACGTCAAGGAGGATGAGATGGGCAGGGCATGTAGCACGAATAGGGGAGACGAGGAATGCATATAGGATATTGGTGGGAAAGTCAGAAGGAAAGAGACCACTGGGAAGACCAAGGCGTAGGTGGGTGGACAATATTAAAATGGATCTTAGAGAGATAGGATAGGATGGTATGGATTGGATTGATCTGCTCAGGATAGGGTCCAGTGGAGGGCTCTTGTGAACACGGTAATGAACCTTCGGGTTCCATAAAATGCTAGGAAATTCTTGAGTAGCTGCAGAATTGGTGGCTATTCCAGAAGGGTTCAGCTCCATAAGTAAGTAATATTTCCAGAACGAAACTGCAATCAGACTCGCCACGCCGGATATCTCGGTGAACACACAGACTGCTTAGCCATGCGTTGACTGTTCAGGGTATGACGTCACCTCAAAGATGATCCAGACAAAGTTTATCTAAATGGAGCCCCTGAAACTTTATCAAGAACCTTAGTCAGTGGAGTTCCCTAATGAATTCTATTACGTCCTTTACAATGTTAGGTTCCTGAGCAAACTTCGTTGCACGGTCATCACAGGTTCTAAGCATCGATGCTGTTGACCGACGTGCGGACTGAAGGGTGACGGCAAAATGGCGTTGGGAAAATGAAGCGTGAGTTACCGAGGTTCTGAACAGTCGTGACCACGATGACTGCTGCTGTCCTCGGGAATGTGACGCCGTATAATCTGATACACTGTACTGTACTGGCGTCATTCCGTCAGACAGTAATCTTCAAAATATTTACGTTAAGAGTAGACCAACTGGAAATACAAAGGCAGAAGCAATATACAAACTTTCTTTACTCACTCTTTTGTCTATGAAGATGGATTCAGTACGTTTCTCCGAAACGTCGATGAATTTATATAGTGGTATGCGCGGCGCTATTTCTCAGAAATCAGCACTCTTCATGCTAACCTCTGTAAGAAGAGAACGTTCATTTTCTTTGAATGATCCCATGCTTCCTCCACTCACAGATTGCGGTGAGGCTGTCAGCATTCCTGACACCATTACCCCAGGAAGACACCTAGTACTCATTTCTGTTAGAGCTGAGTCAACCCCCGGGCCATAATGCGGCTGGAAGGATTAGGTCAATTGAAAACTCAAATGACCTCATCAGGAATCGAACTCGCGACCTTCCGGCTTGCAGCATAGTGCCTCAACCAACTACGCCACCGCGTGCCCCCCCACTGGGTAATGTACTGGTGTCATATGTTAGCCCCGTAAAGCAGCGTGGCTGTTACTTGTACCGACCGCTTTAACGTAAAGAACTTGACACAATAAACAGCATTAACAGTCTTTTCTTTGGAATGGAGGTGCAGTGTGTTTCTGGTAGACATTACATTTACTGCATTTATATAATGTAGAGGAGTTTCATAGCCATGAGGTCCTGCGACCGAACGTCACTTCAAGCAAATGCTGATGTAATTCCCAAGTTCAAGCTGATATTACGTACTCCTCCGGTAGCCCTCCCTCTATTGTAAAGGCCCCTAAATTCCTTAATTCTCAATCAGCCTGAAAATCAAACAATAACGCGGCCCATGTATAAAATTACTATGAACATCGACAATACGGTCAAGGATCCCAGGCTATTGAACACCTGAATGCTTCTGTACGAAGCCTACGGTCTGGCGTGTCTCCCTCCCAAATTTCTTGTACCTTCCTTTACTTGAATTCGGACTTCAAAGGGGTGTGTCAGTCTGTTGTGAGGTGACACCCACCAGAAATGCCTCCTGTTGCAGGCGAGGTCCAGTCTCCGCTACCCGTCATCCTGTACGTCCACGGAGAGTCCTACGAGTGGAACTCTGGAAACCCTTACGACGGCAGCGTCCTGGCCAGTTACGGGCACGTCTTGGTTGTCACCATTAACTTCCGGCTCGGGGTACTTGGTGAGTTTCACTGTCACACTGTTCACTTTTCAGGTAGTGGTTACAATAGATACCAGCTGCATTAACATTAAGGAAGGGCCGCGCCATAGCTCAAGCGATTAGTCGCTGGCTTCCCACCGCGGCGGCCCGGGTTCGATCCCGGGGTCTGGTCAAGTGGGATTTGTGGTGGACAAAGTGGCACTGGGGCGGGTTTTCTCCGAGTACTTCGTTTTCCCTTGCCAATCTTCATTCCACCAAATTCTCCATCGTCATAATCACCCGAGGGAGGCTACAATAGGCCAAACAGCGGCCGCCGTGCCGAGTGGACCCAGTTGGACTCCACCCCCCACAAAGGGAATTGTTGAAAAGATTAAGGAATCCTGCATTCTGCCCAATGAGTGTATCCCTGTGTTCCGTATGGTCCTCACAACAAACAGCGACTGTTTCCCTGAACAGCATTAACCGGTTGGACTCTGTAGCGGAGATGTAATGTGTTTCTTGTGAGGTACGGACAGAATGTGTACATTATTTGTGTGTTCCGTGTGGTTCTCACAATAAACAGCGACTGTTTCCCCAAACAGCATTAGCCGGGTGGACTCTGTAGTGGAGACGTAATGTGTTTCCTGTGAGGTACGGACTGAATCTCTATATTATTTGTGTGTTCCGTGTGGTTCTCACAATAAACAGCATTAACCGGTTGGGCTTTGTAGCGGAGACGTAATGTGTTTCCTGTGAAGTACAGACTGAATCTGGAGGATCTGAGGAAAACTACGAAAACATCTGACATGCAGTTTCCCGGATAAGATTCGAACCGAAAATTTCCAGGATATGAGCACACTCGCTTAATATCTGCAGACTGAAAAGTAATGTAACAATACCCTGGGTGGAGAACTTGTATTCCTGCTCGTTAATTTTAACAGTTAATTAATTGCGATTTCCTGTAATGAAGTAACATTGCACTAAACGATTAAGTAAATTAATCCGTGGATTAATCAGCTAAAAGTGAAACATCACTGTATGAAGGATGTTCATAAAATCCCATCCCAGTCTTACTAATTATTTAAACCCGTTTGATCTTCGGATTAGAGAGAACCCAAGATTAAGCTGCAGACGGGCATACAGACAGGCACATGCAGGTCCCTGATAGGGTGCTGAAGAAGCCTCAGGGTAAAAATAATGGAAAGATTCTGTGACACATTGCGCTTGATCCCACAGTGCTCATGCAATTTATTTCGTAGACGAAAGAGCGGCAGAGGGTGACATCTATACGTGAAGATAACAAACTGCCTACATACCGCTTCATTTAGTGGCGACGGTTACACCGCGGTGCCAGTCACTGACAACCACAAATGGCATGACAGCTGCTGAGACAGGCAGGTCGCCCTAATACATCCGATCCGGGATTGAACACGGAACTGCGGGTCTGCGTTCACTCGAACACGGAGCAGCATGCATCCAAATATAGGCCCGTATTGTGGCCAAGCTGTACGCCACACTTAGCTAATGGTAAAATCAAATTTGGATTTGTTTTCAGTATTCACGTGATAACAGTAGGACAGTCCCTCACCTAATTACTCTGCTGTCTGTGAGCCCTCAAATGGTTGGACGACTGAAACATAACATTCAAACCTAAAGTAATATTTATTTGCTCAATACCGACAAGAGTTGGGATAGCTCAATTTGTACATCTACGGGCTACGGGCTTGATGGTCCAGGTTCAATTCCCAGCAGTGCAAGACTCTTTTCCTCTCCATGTCGTCCAGACCAGCTCTGGGGCCCAACCAGCCACCTATCCAATGGGTACCGAGGGCTTTTTCCTCGAGGGTAAAGCGGACGGGACGTGGACCTGATATTACACCTCCAGCTGTTTACATGGTGTGGTGCTTCGCCGTTGCGTACTTCAGCAGGCCGTGCCATGGCTCAGGCGCTTAGTCGCCGGCTTCCCACCGTGGCGGCCTGGGTTCGAGCCCAGGACAGGTCATATGGGATTTGTGATGGACAAAGTGGCACTTGAACAGGTTTTCTCAGGCTACTTCAATTTCCTCTGCCAATTCTTGTTCCATCGACTGCTCCACACTCATCATCTATCATCCGGGCTTGGTACAATAGGCCAGTTAGTGGCCGACGTCCGCGCCATAGCTCAAGGGGTTAGTCGCTGCCTTCCCACCGCGGCGGCCCGGGTTCGATCCCGGGTCTGGTCAAGTGGGATTTGTGGTGGACAAAGTGGCGCTGGGGCGGGATTTCTCCGAGTACTTCGGTTTCCCCTGCCAATCTTCATTCCACCAAATTCTCCATCACCATAATCACCCGGGGCAGGTACAATAGGCCAATCAGTGGCCGCCGTGCTGAGTGAACACAGTTGGACTCCACACTCCACTAAGCGAATTAAATTAATTAGTGGCCGACGTACGAAGTGGACTCAGTTTCAACCCCCTCCCCAAAAGGAAAGACTACCACCTACAGTACGTCTGCATGAAACACGGTCTGTTCCAGCCCACAGGGTAGGCGCTAGGGCGGCATATTCTGGGAAACAAAATATGAACCGGTTTCACACCCCGGCGACCTTCATTTCCACACTCAGCAACGGGCATTTCCAAAATGTCTATAAATTATTAACAATGTAATTAAGCAAATTGTTTTCCAGTGACGCCTGAGTCTCGTTCAGTCATCTTCCATTATGCCACCAGATTATAACGTCCCGAACCAAAACATTTGTGATTAAACCAATTAAAACGGATAATCGGTTTAACATCAACCGGTTGTATGACCCGATGGAATGATCGGCGATACTTCCTCTGTCAAATTAATTAATCTGTGGTCATCAATGTCTAGCTGCATTTTGAGCGCGGCTTTTTAACCCAAGTGCAGAAGCACTCTTCATTCACTCGGCACTGATTAATCCAAAACAAAGCAGAGTTCGAACACGTAGCAATTAATGCAATCGTTTACATGCTATTCACGAGACTCCCCCTGCCGACTTTATTTCGTGTTTATGGCATCGAAAGAAACATCTGCCGTCTATCAACAGCGAAAGCAAGCTACGTACAGTACAAAGGCAGGCATAACCTGCTACCGTGAAAACTGCAAGCACCTGCGGTTCTCTTTATTAAAGCCTAAGGATGGAACAAACTAGCAGCGATCAGCGGGCTGTGTCCAAGATGTTCATCAATGCCTTATTACGTTACGTTACGTTATGTTATGGGTTATTTCCTGGTAGATTTGACAAATGTTGGTTTCCGCGATAATGAAAAAATACAAGGCTACTATAAAAGATTCATTCGTTTTTAAAAACACTATATTTTCCAAAGAAATGCATGTACAAATATGATTGATATATAAAAAGAACCGTAAACTCACCAAGTTTGTATTGTGTGCACCAGTTGGCAGCACGAGTTCAGTGCCTTTACAAAATGGCGACAAAGCAAGAAAAAGTTTTTGTTTGTTGGAATATGCGAGGTGTTCGTCTCTTATAGCAGTGCAACGCGCATTCAAAAGAGAGTACGGAAAAGAACCGCCATGTAAACAAAACATTTTGCGGTGGTATCGGCAATGTTCGTCGCTACCTACACAATGAACTTCGGCATCGCTGGATTGGGCGTGTTGGTGAGGATGACGTAGCTCTGTTCAGTTGGCCCCCCAGATCACCTGATCTAACGCCTTGTGACTTCTTACTTTGGGGGTACATTAAGGATCGTGTTAACGTACCCCCACTGCCAAGAACGCATCGATGCTGCAGTGATGACCATTGACAGGATGATGCTACAGTCTGTGTGGAACGACTCGACTACAGCCTGGACGTGCGTCGTGTGACCCTAGGGGCACACATAGAACATTTGTAGAGTGTGAAGAAAACTTGGTGAGTTTACGGTTCTTTTTATATATCAATCATATTTGTACGTGTGATGCTTTGGAAAATATAGTGTTTTAAAACTAATGAATCATTTATAGTAGACCTGTATTTACACGAGCTTTGTGTGAGATTGCTTGCAGTAGCACAAGACCATGTAGCAGGAAGCGATGAATAGTGAATAATGAAACGCGAAAGATATCAAAGGATGTGGTACTGGTCTAATTAAAGGTAAGTGACGAACCCCCCGAAACGTCTCTCTCAGACCATCCGGTAAGTTAAGGCACGGATGATAATTACTAGATGTTCGCTGGAGCTGAGCAGTTGCCGTCAGATAAGGGTGAAGTTCTTCCTGCGCTTAATTAATGAGACTTGGGGGACGTGGAGATATAGCTGTAGATGGAAATGGTCAGCTTCACGCTTCGGCCGCTTTACCCAGCGGAAAGAGCCGTATATATAGAACAGGATCTTGGATAGGCCCCAGAGCCAGTCTGGGAGAAGATAAATATCTTTTGCTCTGCCGGAAATCGAACCCTGATTCCTCAGTCATCCGACCCCTAGTCTAGTTGCCATATCGACTGAGCAATCCTGGCTCATTTGCAGTCCCACGTTCATAGTAACGCATCCTGTACCATTATCTCAATGTAGGTCTGTAACACCTTGCTCCATGGAGAAAACGTAATTTGAGAAGCCAATAGTTGCTCATCTAGACAAAAAATTCCAAGAATCTTGTATAACACAAGGGCTCATTAGAGTGAAGACTGTATTCGCACCGCGCAGCACGGCAGAAGTTTGCCGACGTTTCGGACTAACATATCGCTTCCATCTTAAGGCTCGAAGAGTAAATGACGCAAGCAGCAAGAAAAGCTTTGCATTACGTCGGCAAACTTCTACCAGACTACATGACGTCACATCCCGCAATACTGTATTCTTCATAGTCACTGCCACGTGAGCCTCAAATTCAACATGGCTGCTTGCCGTGTTCAAAGAAGCCGCCACTGGACCCCATGAATCCAGTTCCATTTTAATACTGCCACCCCATCTATGCCTGGGTCTTCCAAATGACCTTTTCCTTTCAGGTATCTCCTCATAACCTTCGTACATATCGTACACAATACCGTTCATCGCTCCTTCATTCTGCGCTGAAATTTCTTCTGTAGACCTCTCATGACAT